TTTTAGTAGAGACGGGGTTTCACCGTGTTGACCAGGATGGTCTTGATCTCTTGACCTCGTGATCCACCCGCCTCGGCCTCCCAAAGTGCTGGGATTACAGGCGTGAGCCACCGTGCCCGGCCCTTTTGATTTTTAAAAATTACTTTAATTGACAAAATTGTATATGTTTGTGGTATCTAACCTGTTTTGAAATATGTATACCTGTGTAATGGCTAAATCAAGCTAATTAACATACACGTGACCTCATATACTTTCTACTCAGACTGAGAACACTTAAAATCTACTCTCAGCAATTTTCAAGTATGTACTGCATTGTTGTTAACTGTAGTCACCATGTTGTGCAATAGAGCTCTTGAATTTACGCTTCCTGTCTAACTGAAACATTGTACCCTTTGACCAAGATCCCCCAATCCTCCACCTCTGCCAGCCCTGAGGTGGCATTCTACTCTCTGTTTCTATGAGTTCAACTTTTCATAGAAGTTGAGATTCCACATGTGATATCATGTGGTTGTCTTTCTATTCCTGGCTTATTTTACTTCATATAACGTCCTTTAGTTTGTCCCATTTCTCACAAATGACAGGAATTCCTTCTTTTTTTTTTTTTTTGTCCGAGTTTCGCTCTTGTCGCCCAGGCTGGAGTGCACTGGTATGATCTCGGTTCACTGCAACCTCTGCCTCCCGGTCGAATTCCTTTTTTTTTTTTTTTGAGATGGAGTCTTACTCTGTCACCAGGCTGGAGTGCAGTGGTGTGATCTCGGCTCACTGCAACCTCTGCCTCCTGGGTTCAAGCCATTTTCCTCCTGAGTAGCTGGGACTATAGGCGCACGCCACCACGCCCGGGTAATTTTTTGTATTTTTAGTAGAGATGGAGTTTTACCATGTTAGCCAGGATGGTCTGCATCTCCTGACTTCGTGATCCACTGGCATCGGCCTCCCAAAGTGCTGGGATTACAGGCATGAGCCACCGTGCCCGGATGTACACCCGGCTGCATTCCTTCTTTTTTGAGACTGAATAAATAATATTTCATTGTGATATATACCCCATTTTCTTTGTTTTCGTTTTCTTTTTTCTTTAAATAATAACACATTTTCTTTATTCATTCATCCATCGATGCATACTTTGGTTGATTCCATATCTTGGCTTTTGTGAATAGTGCTGCAGTAACTATGGGAGTGCAAATTTCTTTTTGAGATCCTAATTTCATTTCCTTTGGATATGTACTCAGGATTGTTAGATGATATGGCAGTTCTGTTTTTATTTTATCTTTTTTTTTTTTTTTTTT